GTGTGTGTGTGTCTGTCCGGATATTTCAACTCGGCACCCAAGCAAGCTCCGGCGCCAAAATTTTGCTGATTGGTTCCTTGACCAAGTGCTACACCAGAACCGCGGTATCAACCCTCACGCAAGTCTCGGCCCCGCGTACGAGCGGGTGAAAGTTTTGGCGGGAAAATCGCTAATTCGGGAGCCAGAAAAGCTAGAAAGCTGAAATTTTGAGGTCATGTTCCCCGTCTCCATGGAACTCAAAGATTTCAAATTCAGCCTCCAGACGTGCGTGGTTTCAGCGTACGGCCTAATGAATTTTTTTGGCGCGAAAATGGCTAACTCAGGAACCAAAAAAGCTGGAAGGCTGAAATTTTCAGGGAATGTTCCCAACCCATGTACGGCTTAAATTTAACAAATCAGCTCCCAGACAACCGTGATTGTCACGTACGGCCTCGTGAATATTTTTGGCAGGAAAATTGCTAACTCAAGAAGAAAATTTGGAAAGCTGAAATTTCAACGAAATGTTCTCTGTCCAACTACCGCATAGACAATTAACTTCCGAGGCTTTGAGGGCCAGTATATCACACATTTCTAGCTACTGGGTTTCCAAGCGAAGTATTGGGTTTCATTACAGCTACTGGGTTCCATTACAGCGCGAAGTATTGCAAAAAGCATAATAGCACGGGCCAGCCCGGTGAGCATCGCCAATGATTCATATCGTGGAGCTAATATTCACAGTGCGCGCTCGAGATGAAGGAGTCAGGAAAAAGGGTCAATTTTCACTCAGAGCTTTAAATACACCTGAGAGTTGTTAGTTGCTTCTTTCCTGGAGCTGTTTTCTGAGTGCACATGCTCGAGGTGAAAGCCGAGAAAAAAGGCAGTTAGCTGTAGCTTCTTTGCTGGGACTGTCCCAAACTCAGAATGAATGTCGAAAAAGAAGCTCAAGTTCAGCATCGAGGATTCAAATTTGTCTAGGAGAAACCAGTGATTTCTCGTCTCCAATTGCCTATTTGAGCGCTACTAGAAGAGTTTCAAGGGCTGCCTGAAATGTGTTCCACAAGCGCGTCGAATAGTACCTGCGATTGCATTCTTCAAAAAAGCCATACACTCGATTGATCGCTGATGTTTCATGCTTCCTTAAACATAAAAAATCGCATTTAACTCGACAGAATAAAAAATTATTCCATCATTTCGTGGAAACAAGCAAATTTCCCGAATGGCTCGTGATTCGAGTTTTTCCTAAAGTAAAATATGAATTATAACCACCGAGATTTGAAGGAAAAATCCTTCGGAACTAGTACTAAGCCAGAAATGAAATCAGCTAGAACGCAGAAATTGACCGATTTTTGTGCTTGAAATTATAAGCGGCGAATATCCATGCGAAATCATGATCTGAAAGCAGCACACACTTTCAAACAAAATTTTTCGCACAAGAAATCAATTATGATGAAAAAATACAAAAAGCGGTTTTTGAAAGGAGACCAGAAATAAGCTGTCGAAAAATAAATTTTTTTTCATCGCTTTACTTCACCTTGATTTATCGAGTTTAACTGCCTCGATAAAAGAAGTGAGCTTGAATTTATTTTGTCACATTTACTTTTCCTTTTTTGCCTCATTTCTGTTTTTTCGTTTTTCCTGTCGCAACTAATTTTCATTTTTTCCTCATAAACAGTTCTTTTCATAATCAATTTTTATGCGTTTTTTGCATTTATGCAATGCAAAAACGTGTATTGACGAAGGGTTGTCTGGGTATCCATGTGTCTGTGTGTGCGCCTGTCCCGACTTTTCATCTCAAGACCTATAAAAGTTGCAGAGCTGAAACTTTGGGAACTTAATCTATATGCATTTACTAGCCCCAATCTCTGAAATGGGCGCCATTACCA